CATCCTCACAGCTTAGCTCCCGCTTATGAGTGAGAACATACGACGTTTGGTTTCCATTCCTGAGTGACTTTACTTAGTCTCTAAACCCATTCAGGTTGCTATGAATGCTATTAATTCATTCCTTTTGTGGCTGAGCAGTATTCCATTTTACATACATATACCACGGTTTCTTTACCCTCTCGTTGAATGATGGGCATTTGGGCTGCTTCCACATTTTTGCAATTGCAAATTGACGAACCCACATGATTATGTTACTCCTGGGGTTGCACCTTTGAGAGACGCTGATGGAGGGCAGATGAGTCTCAAGGAGGGGCTTAGCCCACAGGGGTTCTTGTCTTGACCTAGGAAAGAATTCAAGGGCAAAGCAGAGGTGAAGAAAACGGGTTTATTGAAACAACAGTGTTGTAGCTCCGTGACTGCTCCCACAGAACAGGGTACTCAGTAGGTGGAGAGTAGCAGGTTAGGGCAGCTTTGGAGTCATATTTATACCCATTTATTTTTATTTTCATTTTTATTTTTTTTCTTGTTTCAGGCAGTGTCTCACTGTCACCCAGGCTGGAGTGCAATGGCACCATCTCAGCTCACTGCAACCTCCGCCTCCCGGGTTCAAGCAATTATCCTGCCTTAGCCCACGGACTAGCTGAGACTACAGGTGCCCGCCACCATACCTGTCTAATATTTTTGTATTTTTAATAGAGACAGGGTTTCACTATGTTGGTCAGGCTGGTCTCAAACTCCTGACCTCAAATGATCCGCCTGCCTCAGCCTCCCAAAGTGTATACCCATTTTTAGTTGCATGAAGGCTAAGGGGCAGATCATGCAGAAATTTCTAGGGAAGGGGTAGTTATCATTGAGTTATTGGGTCATTGGAAGGGGTGGTAACTACTGAGTGTTGCCATGGCAACGGTAAATTCACATGGCATACTGGTGGGCATGTCTGACTGAAAGCAGCTCCTGTCCCTGCCCTGTTTTAGCTAGTCCTCAATCGGGCCTGGTTTCCAATCTCCACCTCTGGAGTCAATTTCCACCTACTTCAACACCATAGGGTTGATGTGCATGGAGATTTGGTGTTGGTATGGCTAGGGCCCCAGTCCCAGCCCAGTAACACCTAAGCTGTGTCTCCTGAGCATGTTACAGAACATTTCTGAGTTCCAGATACTCTACTTGGTGTATAGGGCTGCAATGGGTTAAATTATGACCTCCTCAAAGGTTACCTTAAGGTCCTAAACCCTGGTATCTGTGCATGAGACTTTATTGATTTGTTAATAGGTGGCTTCTCAATTCTGGATGACTACAATCTCTCTCTATAAGGAAAGAGTGATTTAGGGACACAGAGGGTAGACATTCACTTAATGACCAAAGCAGAGATTGGAATGATGTGTCCACAAGCCAAGAAATTTCAAGGATTGCCAAGGACGGATGCTGCCCAGGGCCTCCCAGGAAGCACCTTTATTTTTGAAGTTCTAGTCTCTCTGGGCAATCTCACACAAGCGTTTATACCTAAATCATGAGGCTGAGCTAAGAAGGAAATAAGAGACTTCATCAAAGCTCTGGCACATTCTCGAGGCGGGGGGTGGGGGTGCAGGTCAAAGCAGTGCTCCTCCTAGGTTCTTAACACCTACTTTGCTTTCTAGAACTTGGCTGCTCATGAGACGTGATGTCTTAGCTGTTGCTGAAATTTCCAGATGCCAGGAGACCACTTGCTGTGTTACTCAGTGCTAGCATGTGTGAAAGGAACACATCTTGGGCCCCCCAAACCACTAAGGAAAACTCAATCTGGAAATTGCTTAGGGCAAACCTGCCTCCCATTCTATTCAAAATCACCCCTCTGCTCACTGAGACAGATGCATGTCTGATTGCCTTTTTTGGAGAGGCTAATCAGAAACTCAAGAAATGCAACCCTTGTGTGTCACCTACCTGTGACCTGAAAGTGCCCTCCCACTTGGAGGCTTCCTGCCTTTGCTTCGAGTTGTCCTGCCTTTCCAGACCAAACCAATGTACTTCTTACATATACTGATTGATGTCTAATGTCTTTCCAAATGTATAAAACCAAGTGGGCCCTGGCCACTTTGGGCACTTCTCTTTAGGACCTCCTGAGGCTGTGTCATGGACATGTCCTCAACATTGGCAAAATAAACTCTAAATTAGCTGAGACCTGTCTTAGATTTTCTGGGTTCACACACGTTTTGCTGAATTGCTGCACCATCTTGATTGTTTCTATCTATTGTTGACAAACATAAACCCGTTTGGTGGGTCGGTTGCCTCCTCATCACACAGGGCGAAGCAATGGAACAGATGGCACAAGTGTCTGTAGGTGCTAGTTTTCTGGCATGGAAAGGCATGTTTAGAAAATGGAAATTAAGCTTGGTGCAGTGGCTGATGCCTGTAATTCCAGCACTTTGGGAGGCTGAGACAGGAGGATCGCTTGGGGACAGGAGTTTGAGATCAGCCTGGGCAACATAGCAAGACCCATTCTCCACAAAAGAATAAAAAGAGCTGGGTGTGGTGGTATGTGTCTGCAGTGCCATCTATTCAGGAGGCTGAACTAGGAGGACTGCTGTGGAGTCCAGGAGTTCAAGGGTGCAGTGAGCTAGGATTGCATCAGTGCACTCAGCTGCCAACATGAATGACACAGTAACTATCTACACAGGAAGACCATGAGCCACCGACTTCTTCAGAGGCAACAAATGGTCATCGATGTTCGTCACCATAGGAAGGCAACAGGACCTAAGACAGAAATTCAGGAAAACTCGCCCAAATGGACAAGCCCACAGAGGATGTCCTGGTTGGTTTGTTTTGTTTTGTTTTTCGTGTTTTGTTTGTTTGAGACATGGAGTCTTGCTCTGTCACCGAGGCTGGAGTACAGTGGCACTATCTCGGCTCACTACAACATCCACCTCCCAAGTTCAAGTGATTCTGTCTCAGCCTCCCAAGTAGCTGGGATTATGGGCATGTGTCACCACGCCTGGCTAATTTTTGTATTTTTAGCAGAGATGGGGTTTCCTGATGTTGGCCAGGCTGGTCTCGAACTCCTGGCCTCGAGTGATAAACCCACCTCAGCCTCCCAAACTGCTGGGATTACAGGAGTGAGCCCTCACTCCCAGCCAGAATGTCTTCTTTGTATTCATGTTCAGAACTCATTTTAGTGGTGGCAAGACAACTGGTTTTGGCATGATTAAAAATTTTGGATTATATGAAGAAAAATGAACCCAAACATGGACTTGCAAGACACAGCCCATATGAGAAGAAAAAGACCTCAAGGAAACAGCAAGTGCAATGAAAGAACAGAACGAAGAAAGTCAGGACACTGCAAAGGCCATTGGTGGTGCTGGTGATGGGCAAGGTGGGGATTAGGTGAAGAACAGAAGAAGTAGCAATGCTGCAGTGACATGATCAGCAGCTGTTGTGTGGATTTTTACAAGAGAATTAATAAATTACAAATTTTCAGGAAATAAAACAAATTTCAATAAACATTTATCCACAGGAATAAAAAAAAAGTTAGCAGCAAGTGGAATAAGTAGTGGGCCTTTCATAATCTGGAGTGGTAGATGAATTTATTGGCTCTTGAATGTACTCCCTGCAAACTTGAGAGCACCAAAGTTATTGACCTTTGGTAACCTGATTGTAATTATCTCTTCTTCTTGGCATCCGGAGCTAAGAGAGTTCCCCTTCCTTGTCACACAGACAAAATGGAAACACCCCACAGCACGGAGTCAGCCACTCCCTGGCCTGATTCCGTTCTGCGAGTTGGTAGGTCACGGGCACGATGGTTTCCTGATGTTCCTTCAGGGCGGCGGCCACCTTTTTAATCACAAAATCGTGGAGGGGCTCTGTGTCAGGTGTCAGGGGTGTGGACTCCGAGGGGTCCCTGGAGAGATCGAACAGCAGAGGGGGGTTGTGATAGGTAACCTGTTCTCCGAAACATTTGCATAATGAGGTGACATAGCAGGCACCAGAAGATGGTGGTTGGAAAATCGGGGTCACGTAGTGAGCCTTCCAAACTGCGCCACCTGGAGGAGAAAAGAGAGATTTGTTAAATGATGCACATTTCAGCCAAATCAAAGGAAGAAGTTCTAGTGCTTTACAGCAGGGGTCCCCAATCCCCAGGCCACGCACGGACTGGTACCTGTTCGTGGCCTGTTAAGAACCGGGTCCTCACGCCTGTAATCCTAGCACTTTGGGAGGCGGAGGTGGGTGGATCGCCTGAGGTCAGGAGTTCAAGACCAGCCTGGCCAACATGGTGAAACCCATCTCTAAAATATATAATGAACTGTGTCACACAGCAGGAGGTGAATGGTGGGGTGAGAGAGTGAAACTTCATCTGTATTGACAGCCACTCCCCATGGCTTGCATCACTGGCTGAGCTCCGCCTTCTGTCAGATCAGTGGTGGCATTAGATTCTCAGAAGAGGACGAACTCCATTGTAAACTGCACGTGCGTGGGAGGGATCTAGTCTGCACACTCCTTATGAGAATCTAATGCCTGATAATCTGTCACTGTCTCCTATCACCCCAGATGGGACCACTTAGTTGCAGAAAGGCAAGCTGAGGGCTCCCAGGGATTCTACATGATGGTGAGTTGCAGAATTATTTCATTATATAATACAACGCAATTATAATAGAACTAAAGTGCATAATAAATATCATGCACTTGAATCATTCTGATGCCATCCCCCATCCCAGTCTGCAGAAAAATTGTCTTCCACAAAACTGGTCCCTGGTGTCAAAAAAGTTAGGGACCCCTGTTCTAACACTGTAGAATGACTATAGTTAACAATAATAAGTTACATAGTTACAAGTAGCTAGAAGGAGGCTAGTCAGTGTTCCCAACACAAAGAGATTATGCATGTTTGAGATGATGGATGTGCCAATTATTCTAATCTGATCACTATGCATTGCATATCTCAAAACATCACTACATACCCACATTTTCATGTGCAATATGTACATATTATTATGTATGTGTCAAGTTTTCAAAATTAAAAATTACAAAAAAAAACACTTCTAAGTTCTGGCTCATAAACTTATGTTCTTCTAACACTTTTAATCTTAAATATTATCTTTAGTCGGCCTATAATTGATTTTTTTTTTTTTGAGACGGAGTTTAGCTCTTGTTACCCAGGCTACAGTGCAATGGCACAATCTCGGCTCACCGCAACCTCCACCTCCTGGGTTCAGGCAATTCTTCTGCCTCAGCCTCCTGAGTAGCTGGGATTACAGGCACACGCCACCATGCCCAACTAATTTTTGTATTTTTAGTAGAGACGGGGTTTCATCATGTTGACCAGGATGGTCTCTATCTCTTGACCTCATGATCCACTCGCCTCGGCTCCCAAAGTGCTGGGATTACAGGCTTAAGCCATCGTGCCCAGCCAGAATTGATGTTTATAAATGAAAGTTTAACCATGACCACTTATGCCTGCAAAATAACCTGCCCTTAGAAGATATTCAATGAGCATTTTTTATCTCCAAAAAAAAAGAAAGAAAGAAAGAAAGCAAAGCATATCAGAGGCATGCACCCAAAGTTCTGACTGCTCTTGTCTTCTTCTGTCTTCTCAAGTCTGTTTCTTGTGTTTCCCTCTGCCCACAGATCAATGCTAAATATTATGCAATCCTGAGAACAAAATGAGAACGTTAGAATCCCCTGGGAAAATGATCCACACATTCCCCAGCAGATATCAGTTTTGTATCTAAAAATGTATGTATATATATTTTGGTATTGTTTTTGTTTGAGACAGAGTCTCCCTCTGTCTTCCAGGCTGGAGAGTAATAGTGTGATTTCAGCTCACTGCAACCTCTGCCTCCCGGGTTCAAGCAATTCTCCTGCCTCCACCTCCTGAGTAGCTGGGACTACAGGAGTGCATCAGCACATCCAGCTAATTTTTGTATTTTTAGTAGAGACGGGGTTTCATCATGTTTGCCAGGCTGGTCTCGAACTCCTGACCTTAAGTGATCTGCCTGCCTTGGCCTCCCAAATTGCTGGGATTACAGGCATGAGCCACCATAACCAGCTAAAAATGTCTGTTTCTTAAAAATGTCTCCCTGACTTTTTGGGTAAATTTATGTCCGTGGAATTATTTTATACATCTGTTTCCTTTATTAAGGTACAATTGAGAAGTGCAAATTGTATAGATTTTCCATGCACAATGTGATGTTTTCATGTATGTGCATCTGCTGAGATAATTAAACAAAACCAATTAGTATCTCCATTATCCCCGCCTGCCTTTCTGCAAAAGAGCAATTCTGAGAAGCTTTTCCAAACGCATGTGTTCAGTGACAGCCCTGGAATGCAATGACTGGCCTAGGGAGGAGAGGAACAGTGGGCTCAGGATACACCTGCATGACCCTGCTCCTGGCAGGGGACAGGAAGGCAAGGGTTGAGCACTCACTGTCATCTTTGGGGATCCACCGCACGGCATGCAGGTAGGAGCTGCAGTAGTGGAAAAGAAACTCATGTTCCGAGTGCTGGATGTTGCCCTGCAGCAAGGGCATGAGGTCGCTGCCGTCGATTACCCTGCAGAGACACAGACAGTGCAGATAAGGAGAAGCGGGAGAAGGGACACTGGCTCCCTGGCTGCCTGAAGGGTACTGGGTGCAGATGGCGCTGTGCCTCAGGCTCAGAGGACAGCATGCTGAGTCTTCAGGAAAACTCATGCGTGCTCTCTGGGAGATGACACTCAAGAGGGCAAGACAAGAAAGCTAAGCTTTGACCGTGAAATGATAAGACCCAGGAATGTGACAATGTGCATGCTTCACGAAGTTTTCGTGTTGTGTTTTTCAGCTCCATCAATTCACTTATATTCCTCTTAAGTTGTCCATTCGCATTAGCATTTCGTCAAATCTTTTTTTAACGTTCTTAGTTTCTTTGCATTGGGTTAGAACATGCTCTTTTAGCTCACAGAAGTTTCTCATTACCCACCTTCTGAAGCCTGATTCTGTCATTTCATTACACTCATTCTCCATCCAGCCTTGTTCCCTTGCTGGTGAGGAGTTGTGATCACTTATAGGAGGAGAGGTGTTCTGGTTTTGGGTGTTTTCATCCTTTTTTCACTGGTTTCTTCCCATCTTTGTGGATTTATCCACCTGTCGTCTTTGTAGTTGCTGATTTTCAGATTGAGTCTCTGAGTGGAGGTCCAATTTGTTGAGGATGAAGTTATTTCTGTTTCTTAGTTTTCCTTCTAACAGTGGCCCCTCTGCTATAGGACTGCTGAGGTCCACTCCAGGCTCTGCTTGCCTGGGGATCACCTGCAGAATGTTAAAGGTTGCTACCAGTTTCTTCTGCTATCTTGGTCCCAGAAGGATGCCTGCCAAATGTCAGTCTGATCTCTCCTTTATGAGGTGACTCTTTGGATATACGGGGGTCAGGGAGCTGCTTGAGGAGACAGTCTGTCCTTTATAGGAGCCAAGTGCTGAGCTGTGAGCTCCATTGTTCATTCAGAGCTGCTGGGCAGGTACGTTTAAGTCTGCTGCAGCAGAACTCATAAACCCCCCTTTTTTCCCCCAGGTGCTCTGTCCTGGGGAGTTAGGGCTTTATTTATGAGCTTCTGTTATGCTGCTGCCTTTTTTATCAGGGCTGCCCTGCCCAGCAAGGAGGCAGCCTAGTCACTGTCTGCGCACAGAGGCTTTGCTGAGCTGCTGTGGGCTCCGCCCAGCTGCCATGTGAACTTCCCTGCAGTCCTATTTATATGGGTGTGGTTAGAACTGCCTCGGCAATGGTGGCCCACCTCTGTAATGGCAGAGTCTCCACGTCTAATTTTGTATGAGAAACTGAGTAAACAAACGCAGAAACAGAAAACCAAACATGATGTTCTCACTTACAAGTGGGAGCTAAACATTGGGTACACATGAACAGAAAGATGGGAGCATTAGACCCTGGGGGCCCCACGAAGCAGGAGGGAGTGACGAAGGAAGGGTTGAAAAACTACCTGCTGGGTACTATGTTCACTATCTGGGTAACGAGTTTAATAGAAACCTAAGCATCACACAAACATCCACGTAACAAACCTGCACATGGGCCCCTGAATCTAAACTAAAATGAATTTTAAAATTTTATATTAGAAAATATGTCTTGTGCCTTATATTAGAAAGTAATAAAAATAAAACCTACTTTGTAAAGAAACACATAATAATACATCCCATATAAGGATTTTTTTTTTTTTTTGAGATGGAGTTTTGCTCTTGTCACCCAAGCTGGAGTGCAGTGGCACAATCTTGGCTCTCTGCAACCTCTGCCTCCCAGGTTCAAGCAACTCTCCTGCCTCAGCCTCCCGTGTAGCTGCAATTACAGGTGTGCACCACCATGCCTGGCTAATTTTCTATTTTTAGTGGAGACAGGGTTTAAATACTTTGATCAGGCCTGTCTTGAACTCCTGACCTCAGGTGATCTGTCTACCTTGGCTTCCCAAAGTGCTGTGAATACAGGCGTGAGCCACTGCACCTGGCCTAAAAAGGATTTTTAAAGAAATAAAACTATATTTACTATCAGATACAATGATTTCCTATTCCTAGTTTTTTGGTTAATTATCACCAAAAAACCTACCGGAAATAATAAAATTAGCAAGATCACACAATACAACACCAACTTTTAAAAATGTCTATATATTTGCAACGAATGGCTGGGAATGACATTATTTAAAAAGTGTCATGTACCATAACATGAGAAAGCATGAAATATTTAGGGATAGCATTTTTTTTTTTTTTTGAGATGGCGCCTCACTCTGTCGGCCAGGCTGGAGAGCAGTGGCATGATCTCGGCTCACTGCAACCTCTGCTTCCTGGGTTCTTGCAATTCTCCTGCCTCAGCCTCCAGAGCAGCTGGGACTACAGGCGCATGTCATCACGCCCACCTAATTTTTTGTATATTAGTAGAGACAGGGTTTCACTGTGTTGTGTGCCCAGGCTTGTCTCAAACTCCTGAGCTCAGGCAATCCACCCACCTTGGCCTCCCAAAGTGCTGGGATTACAGGTGTGAACCACCACGCCCGGCCAGGGATGGCAATTTTATGTGAAAATTTTGTATGAGAAAAGTCACAAAGCACCTAATAAGAGGAATAAATGAAGAAATGAACAATATATTTACTGATTGGAAGATTCAATTTTTTAAGACATATATTTTCTGCAAATTGATCTATAGATTTCATGCAATCTCAATCACAATTCCAGAAAGGTCTATGTTGAAATGAAGAAACTTATTCTAAAATATGCATTGAAAAATAAAGATTCTAGAATGGTTTAAAATTTTTTTAAGAAGAAAATAGTTTGAAGACTCACTTTATAATTCCCAAATTTACTGTAAAGCTAGAGTAACTGAGACAGTGTAGTGTTGATACAAGCATTTCAATGAATCAGTGCAATAGGAGAGTCCAGGATTTGACCAATATGTATATTGTTTTTCAAAAAATGCTCAAAATAATTCAGTCTTTCAATAAATGACAGTAGAAAAATTGGATATCCAAATGCAAGGAAAATAAATCTCAACCTATACCTGAAACCACATGAAAAAATTAACTCAATGTGGACCATAAACCTAAATGTAAACCCAAAACTAGAAAACTTCTAAATGAAGACATTGGAGAAAATCACTGTGATCTTTTGATAAGAAAATATTATCACAAAAATTATGAGTTATAAAAGAAAAAGGATAAATTAGCTATTATCAAAATGTATAACTTCTGCTTTTCAAATGTCAATGTCAAGAAAATAAACATGTGACCTCAGACCATTAGTGGGGAAAAAGAAGAAAAGAAAAAAATCAAAATATTAAATACTAATTTTAAAAAGTAGAAAGCATTAGGACAAATACCTAACGCATGTGGAGCTTAATATCTAGATGACAGGTTGATAGGTGCAGCAAGCCATATATGTATACCTATGTAACAAACCTGCAATTCAGCACATATATCCCAGAACTTAAAGTAAAATTTAAAAAAAGGTTTAAAAGAAAAGAAAAAGACAAGCTGAGGAAGAAAATAGTCATCCCTCTGTATCCAGAGGTTTTTTTTTTTTTTTTTTTTTGAGGGAAAGTCTCACTCTGTTGCCCAGGCTGCAGTGCAAGTGGCGTGATCTTGACTCACTGCAATCTCTGCCTCCTGAGTTCAAGCCATTCTCATGCTTTCGCCTTCCAAGTAGTTGGAATTACATATGCCTGCCACCACATCTGGCTAATTTTTGTATTTTCAGTAGAGATGGGGTTTCGCCATGTTGGCCAGGCTGGTCTGGAACTCCTGAGCTCAAGTGATCTGTCCACCTTGGCCTCCCAAAGTGCTGGGATTACAGGCGTGAGCCACCGTGCCAGGTTCAAAGTTTCTGCATCTGTGAATTCAGTCAACTGCAGATCAAAAATAGTTCATAGGATTTTCTCCTATTTTTTCACCTAGAAGTTGTAGAGCTTCAGGATTACATTTAGGCTTATGGTCCAAATCAAATTCATTTTCTAATGTGGTGTCAGGTATAGGCTGAGATTTATTTTTCTTGCATTGGATGTCCAGTTGTTCTAGTGTCATGTATTGAAAGACAGTTGTATCTCTACTGAATTATTCTGGACATTTGTTGAAAAGCGATAAATACATATTGATCAATTCCTGGACTCCGCTATCCCATTGATCTGTTGAAATGCTTACATCAACATGACACCATCTTGATTACTCTAGCTTTATAGTACATTTTGGAATTATGTAGTGAGTCTTCGAACTATTTTCTTCTTCAAAAAATTTTAGGATATTTTAGGTTCTTTATTCTAGAAAATCCTATGAAATATTTTTGATCTGCAGTTGATTGAATTTGCAGGTGCAGAAACTTTGGATACAGAGGTATGACTATTTTCTTCTACTCCATTGGCTTTTATAGTATTAGCATCCTTCATTTCCGTACAGGTGAGAGCCACTTTTGAGTTCTTCTTGTTGATTTCATTGTGTTAGAGACTGAAGAAGACAGGACACAGGTATCCACAGGCCCTCACTCTGCTGGTGTCATGGACAGTGACCCTGATACTGTAAATTTGCTGTTTGTTCTTTTCTACATAGTAGAGCTATTCTCCATTAGCAAGGACATATTTAACGGGTCAACACACATGCCAGCAACGTCATAAATTCAAATAAAGAGGTTTGGGAGAACCAAGTGTAGAAATAACCACAAAATCAACCTGATGAGTAGTACCTGGCACACCAACTTGTGTGTGAAGCTGAGGTTAGGTCTCCCACCAGAGTGCCCTAGTCATTTTCATGGTTTTCTTCCACTTCCCATTTAATTACAAAGATGGTGCATCCTCTGAGGACTCAGCCTCTGGCTAGTGGAGTCATGGTTGTAGGCAGGAAACGACAGCTGTACTATACATCTTATCGAGGACATCAAATTCATAACCCTAACCCCTAACCAAATGAGCATGTAATCTCATGGAGCAGAATGCACTGGAGTGGTGAGTGAACCCTGAGCAACTCATTCTTCTGTTTAAGGTCAGCACAATGGCCAGAGCTCGGCAGCAGTTGCCTTCCAACTTCAATCAATGTAACAATATTGTGCCTGGACATCTCCCTTCTCCCTAACAGGCTGTTGGGCCACGTGGAGTGACAGACTTCTTCAAACAACTATTTCTAAATGGTAGAACAGGGAAGCTGGGGCTTCTCCGTAGTTTTTTTTTTTTTTTTTTTTTTGATAGGTTCTTTTTGTAATAACCTCACAGTGATTTGTAAAATATTTTTGGGGAGGCTAGGCATGATGGCTCATGCCAGTAAATCTCAATACTTTGAGAGGCCAAGGAGGGAGGATTGCTTGAGGTCAGGAGTTCAAGACAAGCCTGGTCAACATGGTGAAAACCCATCTCTACAAGAAATGCAAAAATTATCCAGGCATAGTGGTGGGTGCCTGTAGTCCCAGCTACTTGAGAGGCTGAGGCATGAGAATGACTTGAACCCAGGAGGCAGAGGGTGCAGTGAGCTGAGATTGTGCCACTGCACTCCAACCTGGGCAACAGACTGAGACTCTGTCTCAAAAATAAAATAAATAAAAATTAAAAAAACATTTCTTTCTTGTATTAGCATTATTAATGCCTAAATTCTTTTCAGGCAGAAAATAAAAGCATCTTCATCTAATGTTGAGTCCGAAAATTATAAAATAAATTCCAGCCTTAGTGTGTTGCATCTATCTACTAGCATCGAACATTTTTTTAAATATTAGAAAGGCAAACTTGGGGGTGCCTCAATTAGTTCTTGATAGTTTGTTTTTCAGTAAGTAACCATGACTTCTAAAATATTTTTCTTTCTGTATTAGTACCATCAGTATCTAGCTTTTGGTTTTGGAGACGGAGGGGAGAAAATATAAAAATTTTTCACAAAAATTTTTGAAAAATATAAAATATAGTCTTAGTTTCTTTGTCTTGTTTTTTAAAGCTGCCTTTCACCCTGGTCAATATTTTTTTGGTCTTTATATGAATAACTAAGTAGCAGCAAAAACACACAGGTTTTTATCTGTAATAAAATACACTGGTTTTCTGTATGAATCCAAAGTAATTGCCTTCACTGGCTAAAACCATCTAAGCTTCCTTTGTTGGATAGAGGCAACTTTCTTTTTCTTATGCGCTTTGACACGTCTGACAGATCTGCTTTTTTCTTGATATAATAAAAACTTCTAGAGACCTCTAGCAAAATGGAGTGACTTGCAGTTTTAGCAAAGCATTCACATCTTCTAGAATCTTCTAGAATCATTGCAGTGATTCATCTTTGTTTCCCAGTGAAGTGTGAAGTCAAATGTAGAGGGAATGGGAATGAAGATGTAATATTTTTAGAGCTTATTCTGACAAAATCAAAATCAAAATCAAATTCTTTCCTTTTTTTGTGAGACAGGGTCTCATTCTGTTGCCCAGGGTGGAGTGCAGTGGCAGGAGCATAGCTCACTGAAGCCTTGACCTTCCCAGAGTTAAGCAATCCTCCCACTTCAGCCTACTGAGTATGCACCACTATGCCTGGATAGTTTTTGTATTTTTTGTAGAAAAGGGGTTTCACCATGTTGCTCAGGCTGGTCTTAAACTCCTGAGCTCAAGCAATCCACCTGTCTCAGCCTCCCAAAGTGTTGGCATTACAGGTGTGAGCCACTGTGCCTGGCACAAAAATCAAATAATTCCTACGAAGGCAAATCCTAATCAGCATCCACAGACCAATATTTCATGAGATTGAGATTCTCCTCAGCACTTTGTAAGTCCAAATATAGTCTATACCAATATCCCAAACTCAGTGCATTTCACTCACATCTTGGAAAATTATTTTTATGATTATGATTGGCTTAGTAACTTAAAAAACTGGCATCAGCACTAAACTATTATATAAGTATTTGGAAATGTATTATTTAGCTCAAATTGATGAATACTCTTTTTTCAAAGTAGAAGGAATCTTTATTCTGTTATTATTTTATATAAATTCTCAATAAATTCCCTTACTGGTTAAAGCAAGTAAGAAGGGGGGGGCGTGCCAATTATGGTGGTTCGTGTCTGTAAACCCAGCACTTTGGGAGGCTGAGGCAGGAGGATTGCTGGAGGCAAGGGGCTAGAGACCAGCCTGGGAGACATATCAAGACCCCATTCCTACAAAAATGAAATAACAGTCAGGTGTGGTGGTGCATGCCCATGGTCCCAGCTGCTCAGAAGGCTGAGGTGGGAGAATCTCTTGAGCCCAAGAGATAGGGGTTGTAGTGAGATATGACTGTACCACTGTACTCCAGTCTGGGCAACAGAGCAAGAACTTGCCCATACATATATATATATATATATATATATATATATATATATATATATACACACACACACACACACATATACACATATATATATACATTATACACATATGTATACACACACACATATCAGCCTGTGGCTAGTGAAATCATGGTTGCAGGCAGGAAAGGATAGCTGTACTATACATCTTATCATTTTATACACACACACACACACACATATATATATGGGGGATCTTTTTTATTTTTAATTAACATTGAGATTTATCCTATTTTTCTTTAGAAATAGATTAGCTTTGTTACATGAAGAAAGAAATATTACAAGAACTCTGTGGGCTTGGAGGAGAGACATAGTCTGGACTCCCTTGCAGAGCTGTACTCAATGAACTGTCAGTAAATCAGCAGCAAACCTGTCTAGGTTTGTTGCTGCCGGGGAATGGAGCAATGTAGTATCTTCATTTTTATGACTATGATTGGCTTAGTAACTTAAAAAACTGGTATCGGCACTAAACTATTATATAAGTATTTGGAAATGTATTATTTAGCTCAAATTGATGAATACTCTTTTTTCAAAGTGGAAGGAATCTTATTCTGTTATTATTTTATATAAATTCTCAATAAATTCCCTTACTGGCTAAAGCAGTAAGAAGGGAATTCATATACATGAATATATGAAATTCAAGTATTCATGATAGAGTTCAAAGCACTCTCAAACATCTTACCGTCTTCACAGTCTTCCAGATCTTTCACTCCAGAGACTAAGATTTTTTCCCCTTTCTTATGGAGAAGAGTGAGTTTTACCTACCATGCCTTCCTCTCCAAAGCTTCCTGTCTCCATCTTTCTCCCAGCTGAAAATGTTAAAGTATCTAAGATGGGCCATGTTAGATTAGTATCTAAGACTGGTCTCTGACAATATGGAGGTTCCTTGGAAAACCAAAAAGAGAGCTACCATGTGATCCAGAAATCCAACTACTTGGTACATACCCAAAAGAGAAGAAATCAACAGATCAAAGGGATATCTGCATTTCCCTGTTTATCGCAGCACTCTTCACAGCAGCCAAGCTATGGAATCAACCTAACTGCCCATCGGCAGACAAATTCATTTTTTTGAAAGTGTTGTACATACACAAGGGAATACTAGCCACTCCTAAAAAAGAAGGAATTCCTGTCATTTGCAGCAATATGAATGGAACTGATGGCCATTATGTTAAGTGAAATAAGCCAAGGCCAGAAAAAAGCAAACGTCACATCTTCTGACTCAATGTGGGAGCTAAAAAAAAAAAAAAATACTAAATCTTAGGAAGACAGAAAGCAGAATAGTGATGTCCAGAGGTCAGGAAGGGGAGAGATGAGAGGACAATGAAGGGGAAAAAAGAATATAAATATGTTTATTACCACTGAAATGTATCCTGAAAAATGGTAAAGATGGTAAATTGTATATGTATATTTTACCTCAATAGAAAAAGAGAAAAGACTGGTCTCTGGCTTATGAAGGATGCTGAATAGACACAGTCATATATGAAGGTAAAACTGTGTAGGCATTAGGGAAAAAGTGAGTCTGCCAGGATAGAGTCAGTCTCCTTGCTCTGAATCTTCTGAGAAGGAAGAAGAGTGAAAAGAAGTTGTTAACAGAGTTTATACGACATTACCTGTCCTGAGGGGGACTTCCTCCTGACACTGATGCGAGAGTTGGTAAAATATCCATTAAGCTTGTAGCTTCCGTAATCAACTGTCCAGCTGGTATCTTTCCAGGCCATCGAACAATTCCTGGGACGCGGATTCCACCTTCCCAGCCCCCCATGCCTTTTCCACCTACAAGACAATGCAATTACGTCCAATTATTGTGGCTAGTTAAAATAGTCACTGTATGGAATGTATTTAAAATGTAAGCTAGTATCAAAAGAGATCACATTTGTATAGTGTCTACTCTTTGTAGAGTACTGGTGGGGTAAGTAGTGCACATCCACAGAATTATATTTTCCTGTGCTGCTGATAGGTTTTTGATTAAATAACTAAACATATGTAATCTTGGACATTTACATTCTATTTACATGGCAATTTCCTCTACTTAAAATGTTCTTATATCAAATATACATCTACTTCATTTACAATCTCCCTCATACCTTTGCTCAACGTAACTTCCTATATCTTTTTGAATTAACATTTTTTCTTGTATCCAGCCCCCAAGGTTATGGAGCTCACAGTAACCTCAACGAGGCATGTCTGAATATTTAATCTGATACAGCAGCCCCAACCCAGAATTCTTTATCCTTGTGTTTTTCCATATTTACTGCTACATTCTAATATATCATATTATTTATTTATTTTATTTTCTGGTGTGCCTCCCTCCAGTAGGATATAAACTCTATGAAGACAAGGATTTCTGTCTGTTTTCCTCATTGTTAATTCCAACACCCTGAAAATAAATGGAATACTATGGGCATATGATAATTTGTCATCCACACCAAGGTATTATTGAGAATAAAAGCAGAAAGTTGTCTTAATTATACCAAGATGACAGGCGTACACCAGGATTTCCAGGGGGAAATTAGAAGAAGAGGCCACCTTCCTGTGTTAGTGGACTCTTATTTTATTAAATTAATCAGAGTATAGTTTACATTATGTCATGGCATGCTGAAAAATTAAAAAATTTTTAAAATAGTTCTCATAAGCAAACATAGACGTCTTAACATACACACACATGTTTATAGCAGCACAATTCTCAGTTCCAAAGATATGGAACCAGCCTAAGTACTCATCAACCAATAGGTGGATAAAGAAAATGTGGTGCTTGTACATCATGGAATTCAACTCAAGTGTAAAAAGAAATGAAATAATGTCTATTGCAGTAACTTGGATGGAGCTGGAGGCCATTATTCTGAGTGAAGTAACTCAGGAATGGAAAAACCAAACATCTTGTGTACTCACTTGTAAGTAGGAGCTAAGCTACAAGAATGCAAAGCCATAAGAATGATATAATGGGCTCTGGGGACTTTGGGGGATGATTGAGAGGGGACTGAGAAAAAACGATGCTACATATTAGGTACAGAGTACATACTCGGGTGATGGGTGCACTAAAGAACTTATCCATGTAACAAAAAACCACCTGTATCCCCAAAGCTATTAAATTGTTTTTAAAAAAATAGAATGTCTATAACAACAATTTCCACTAAGGATTTGTTTTGGGTCCTAAAGGCATATTTCAGTGGTACAGGCTCTAAGAGCACACATTCATTCCCTCTGCAAGATGGAGGCAGAGCCTTTACCTCATTCATACAGAAATTATAATTTCTTACTGAATCCAAGACTGTGGAATCTGTAGTTACATGAATAAAAATGTATTTCCCTCTAGAAAATAAAATCTCTCCCAAGACATATGATAAAACATACTTGACATTGTCCAAGTAATTTTCTTTTTTTTCTTTTCCTTTTTTTAATCCTTATTTCACAGATGAAAATAATGTTCTTAAAACATCAGGTTACATGTTATAGAGCTGGCCAATGTAGTAGCTTTTGGACCTATTTTGTGGACTAAATGTTACATCCAGACATAAAATCAGTATATGTGAATTTAATAGTAAAACCCAAGATGGGCTTGGCCTCTTTCTATACTATACTATATCCTTGGAAGAGAGCATCAAAGGCTACTTAACAGTGAAGGATCCCTGGTTTCTGATCTCTGTTCTCTGGGAACCACATGCCCCCTTATTTAATCTCTTGATAGTCTCATAAATGGAATTAATAAGTAGATATCCCTTTAAAAACCTCATAAGGGCATCTGCTTGTGCTAACTCCTCATAATTTTGTAGGGTTGTCAGAAAGGCATATTTCTAGATGCTCCCTCTACATACATGGCTTCTTTCGACAGAAACGTTAACAAACAGAAGACGAATTTTCTTAACCTTGGTTCAATACTTCATTTTAGTAAGAGTCAAATTAAACAAACGTGTTCAGTTTTTCATGCCTCATTCCTTTGTGTCATGGGCTTTAATTATAACAACCATAAAAAAGCTTATTCCCCACCAGACCACATGCATGAGTTGCTCTCCTCACCTTTGTATATTCCGTTCCAACCACCAAGTTGGGCATGACCTCGCCTAGCCTCCAAATGCCCTCCGTGGTCTGATGCAAAGTAGACGAGGGTGTCGTTCCTTAGGCCAAACTCATCTATAGCATCAAGAATCTTGCCTAAAATAATATAAAAGAGACAAGTAAAAATAATGACACTATGAAATATTTCACCCCTAAGTCAAATGGGCATGAGCTATCTAAAGGAAAACAAGGATGGTGTGACCCTTACTATGTCAAAAGCCACAAAAGAAAAGAAATGTGCATTAACAGTTTAAATTGACAAACCATTGAAAGAGAAAAACACTGAGAGGCTGGGCGCGATGACTCATGCCTGTAATTTCAGTGCTTGGGAGGCTGAGGTGGGTGGATCATGAGGTCAGGAGTTTAAGACCAGTCTGGCCAAGATGGTGAAACCTCATCTCTACTAAAGCTACAAAAATTAGCTGGGCATGGTGTCATTCCTGTAATCCCAGCTACTTGGGAAGCTGAGGCAAAGAACTGCTTAAACCCGGGAGATGAAGGTTGCAGTGAGCAGAGATTGCACCACTGCTCTCCAGCCTGGGTGACAGAACGAGACTCCATCTCAAAAACAAACAAACAAAACAAAACTACAAAAAAAATCAGAGTCCAAAATTTGTAAGAAATAAAAAATTATGGCAATACAAATGAACATCAGTTGCTACTAATATCAGTTAAAAGTTCAAATTCTCCTTGATCATCTCCTTCATGTGGAATAAAAACATTAAACAGAGGAATCCTTTTTTTCCCACTGGATATCAAAAGGAGGACTGTGGTGGTATTCTGACTGATGTGTCTCTGCTCACAGGAAGCAGACACTGTTACAGAGTTTGAGGAGACAAGAGGTGGGAATAACACACTCCCACTGTTGGGTTCACACAAATGATTTGATATATCCTTGCAGACGATTTAGGTAAGTAATTCTCTCTCTAACCATTTTCACTTCCCTTCTTATTTGATATTTTAAATAGAGAGTAGGATGACTAGATGGGGATAATTAGATTCAGTGGGCAAGTTAAAAGAGGAGGAACATACTCAAAATAAACCACATTTCCAATCATTTTTTATAAGAAAATAGCCAAATTCCTACAGTTCCCAAACCCAGTCTGTATTGTGCATAATTATGGAAAAACTCATTAGTCACAAATGTGTCCAATTCTGTGTGTTCTACTGTTGGTTATCTCAGATAACATTACATTAACATTCCTAAAGTACTGTATCTTAGAGATTTTCTAGAGCCAAGACACACAGGTAAGGACAAGACTAAGAAATAATTATATTTTTAAATACTTCAAAAAAATTACCACAGTACTTTTAGCAAAACTCACATTGAAAATTGAGCCAAGAGAAAATGATCAATGGATGCTAAACCTGGCACTGAAAGTTTGATAAGAACCAAGATACTGGCTTCCTCTCAAAGTATTTCCCATAAAATAGTTAATAATTTCAAATTAATAAATAATGAGAAAATAAGTAACTTTACAGTGGAGAAAACTGGAAGATACCACTTAATCAAGTGATGATGAGTGTTTAACCAATGTACTGTTGTTCACTATTTGGTTAATTTTCATACTTTGCCATAATTTAAAATGTCATAATGAACAACTTTTGGCATTAATAATAGTTCATTTTCTCAAGACTCTGTCTCAAAAAATATATATAAATATACACAATAAATTTATTTTTAAAAACAAAACAAAACAAGTGGGAGCGTAGCATCAAAAACAATAGATACTGTGGACTACTAGTAGGGGCAAGGGTTGAAAAACTAACTATTGGGTGCTATGTTTAGTGTCTGGGTGAAGGGTTTGATCATATCCTAAACCACATAATACTCCCAGGTAACAAATCTGCACATGTAGCCCCTGAATCTAAAATAAGAGTTGAAATTTGAAAAAGAAGGTCTACTTTGTGGTCTGGCCAGCACTGGAGATGCAGTCAAGTAGACAAAGACCCCAGTTACTAAGTGGATGGCATGCAAAGAAAGGAGAGGAAATGCATATGGTATTTTGCTGACTTTCTCAATTGCTTGCAACTATTAGCTCATTTACGTCTCGGACCAACCCTGTCCCATGGCATAATTCTCTTCACTTTACAGGTTGACCAAGAGCAGTTTTCAGGTGTCCTGTACTATCAGAACACGTTAGTTTCTGTCCACTTAGGTCCTCCGACTTACCCACCATGGAGTCCATCTCTTCCACATTGTCCCCATATAAGCCATGCTTGCTGGTGCCAATGAAATCGTCTGTGGTGGGGAGAGGTACGTGCACGTGAAGAAAGGAGAAGAAGAGGAGGAAAGGTTCCTCACGGTGCCTGAGAAGACATCAATGACACTACTTGTGAATTTTCAACATCTATGAATGTGAAAAACAATGTGTTTTGGCTTCTCACAGACGTGACGTCTTTCCTTCTTCTCCATGCTGCAGAAGATAGAGTGGGTCCACCCAAGGGCTCCATCCTGCATGAAATGGATTCCAAGATCCTCCAGCACCTCAACTGCTCCCCAACCCCTTTGGTGATGCTACTGAAACCGTTTCTATAAACTTCATAAAGTCAATCAGAGAGGAAGGGATGGGGAGAAACAAAATGAACTAAGTTTGCAGTATACTCATCTTTGATCCTGAGGTCAATTTGCTCTCTATGTCTTCCTATTAGTTTGGTACCTATTTGTCCTAGAATCACATAGACCCTGTTACGGGATGATAACAAAACATTATGAAATGTTAAGTTTTCCATTTGCAGTAACCTTTCAGGTCCTACATACCAGGGAAACTACTGATGTCAGCTGCTCTAAAGGACCCTATGAGAGGCTGACTTAACAAAGCATGCCATTTCTATATTCTGATTATTTCATTCCCTCTTACCCCAACCTATCAGTGACCCCAAGACCCTCCATGATCCCTAAAAAACCCAGCCCAGAACTCTTTGGAAAGATAGATTTGAGACCAGGCACAGTGGCACACACATTGTAATCACAGAACTTTGGGAGGCTGAAGCAGGCAGATCACCTGAGGTTAGGAGTTCGAGAGCAGCCCTGCCAACATGGTGAAATCCTGTCTCTACTAAAAGTATAAAAAGTAGCCAGGCATGATGGTGGGCTCCTGTAATCCCAACTACCAGGGAGGCTGAGGTGGGAGAATTGCTGAACCCAGGAGGCAGAAGTTGCAGTGAGCTGAGACTGCACCACTGCACTCCAGCCTGGGCAACAGAGTGACACTGCATCAAAAAATAAAAAATAAAAAGATGGATTTGAGGTCTCCTCTCATGTTTGCACTAATTGTCCTGAAATTATTAAATTCTTTCTCTGCTGTAAACCCTGCTATCTCAGTGTATTGGTATGTTACTGTGCAGCAGGCATATGAACCTGGTAGTCCTGTGAGACCATCACAGTTCTTCTGATTCTCAGATGACGGGACAGCTGTAGAATGTACTGCAAGCCAACACAGACCTCCCATATCATGAAAGTGCAAAAAGTCGAATCTAGCTCTGTTTGGTTGATGTTCTCACTGTTCATGAAGCCTCAAAATATAGTCACACCCTGAGAGACATCAAGAGATAGTGGTATGGAAGTCATTTCTTAGCAAGATCAAGAGTTTCATGAGCCATGAGCCAGTACAAACAGAAATGCCTTGGCATTTGCACACTGTAGGTTCTCACATAAGGATACAGGGAACTCGGCTGACCCACTTTTACTTCAATAATCCATCTGCATGAATGGTAAGTCCCCAGCTACCCAGGGAAGCACACATCACAAATGCCATTTGTTGGGAAATTTTTGTTCTGATGAAATGTCAAAATATAAAAAAGAAAAATAAATGAATTTAAAAAACAACACTTGTGTCATGGTGTCTTGAACAGTGACCCCTCAGAATTCATGTTCACTTGAAACCTCAGAACGGGACCTTATTTGGAAATGGGGCCTCTGAAGATTTAGTTAAGAGGCGATCATTCTGGATTAGGATGAATCCCAAATTCAGTTAGGTTGTCCCTGTAAGAGAAGAGGAGACACAAGCACAGAAGAAAAGGCCATGTGGAAATGGAGAAATATGACCACCAGCCAAAGGACGTCTGGAGCCACCAGGAGCTGGAGGAGGCAGAAAGGATCTTTCCCTAGAGCCTCCAGAAGAAACTGGATACAATTGTAGTAGATTGAATGGTAGCCCCCAGAAAGATATGTCCATATATTTAAAGCCCAGAACTTGAAATGAGGTCATTAGTTAAGGATCTGAAGATGAGGTTATCCTGGAATTAGTATGGGCACTAAATCCAATGACCATTGTCCTTATAAAAGACTTAAGACGAGACACAGACACAGAGGGAAAGGCCATATGCAGATGAAGCACAGACTGGAGTGATGGAGCCACAAGCCCAGGGATGCTGGAGCCACCAGGAGCTGGGAGGGGCAGGAAGAATCCCCCCCAGAGCCTACAGAGGAAGCATGACTCTGAACATTAAAGATTTAAAATTAAATAGTCTGCCGCCCAAACTAAGCTGCCAAAATAAAGAGTCATGGTCCAAGTGATCACCTGAATAATGTCCCATTCCAAAGACAGCTACATCCTAACTCCCAAAAGCTATGAATATGTGATATTACATGGTAAAAGGTCTTTGCAGATGGGAATGAATTAAGGATTGTGAGGTGAGGTGATTATCTAGATTATCTGGGTGGATCCAGTGGAATCAGAAAGGTCCTTTCAGAAGAGAGACACAGAGGGATCTGAGTCAGAAAACAAAACCCTACAAACTAAGGAATGCAGGCAGCTTTGAGAAACTAGAGGAGACAGGAAACAGATTCTCCCCTAGACTCCCCAGAAGTACCTAGCCCCACCAACGTTGTGATTTTAGTTCACGAGGTTAATTTTGGATTTTTGGCATCAAGAACAGTAGGATAATATATCCGTGTTGCATTAGGCCACTACTTTTGTGGTACTTTTTTTGAGACAGGACCTCACTCTGTTGCCCAGACTGGAGTGCAGTGCTGCAATCACAATTCACTGCAGCCTCAAAATCTTCAGTTAATCTTCCCACTTCAGCCTCCTGAGCAGCTGTGACTACAGATGCATGCCACCATATTCAGCTAATTTCTTTTTGTAGAGATATGGTCTCCCTGTGTTGTCTTGACTGGTCTCAAGCTCAGCAGGACTCAAGTGATCCACTTATCTCAGCCTTCCAAAGTGCTGGAATTACAGGTATGAGCCATTTTACTCAGCTCTATAGTGATTTGTTATAGAAACTGTAGGAGATTCACACACTGAGAATGCAGATAAAAATAGTTTCTAGTGTTCATGAGCCTAAGCCATGAGCTTATTGTCACATTGTCCAAATCTTTGGATTTCCTGTTCACCATTGTTTTTTCCACTCAATATCATGTTATTGTAGATCATATGAAACTTCTGAAACTCGACAGAGGTTTTGGTGAATAATGCATATCTCAACAATAGGATCTGTTCTTTAAGCACTAATGTAGAGTCATAGGTGAAATGTGTGAGAATGCTTGAAGACTCCAACTAGCAGACAGAGGAGAATAGGATTGCTAATCTTACACTTTCAGAGTGGTTGGTGCTAACTTGCAGCATATTGATGCTTTTTCTGTGAAAGTTCGTAGAACTCTGCACATTTGGAAACGTACCAAGGAAAAAAGGATTTGCCCTAAGTGACACCAAGCATTCACTTTCATCTACAGAGCAAATATGGCCTTATTACTCCCAGACAACTTTTTTTTTTGAGACAGAGTTTCGCTCTTGTTACCCAGGCTGGAGTGCAATGGTGCAATCTCAGCTCACCACAACCTCTGCCTCCTGGGTTCAGGCAATTCTCCTGCCTCAGCCTCCCGAGTAGCTGGGATTACAGGCATGTGCCACAATACCCAGCTAATTTTTTGTATTTTTAGTAGAGACGGGGTTTCACCATGTTGACCAGGATGGTCTTGATCTCTTGACCTTGTGATCCACCCGCCTCGGCCTCCCAAGGTGCTGGGATTTCAGGCGTGAGCCACTGAGCCCGGCCAACTTTTTTTTTTTTAAGACAGAGTCTCCCTCTGTTGCCCAGGTTGGAGTGCAATGGTTTGATCTCAGCTCACTGCAACCTCCATATCCCAGGTTCTAGAGATTCTCCTGCCTCAGCCTCCCAGCTAATGTTTGTATTTTTAATACCTCGTCCAATTCATGTAATAGCCCTTAAATAACACATGCTCAAACAGAAGCCTTCTGATTTTCATTTCCCCAAGTAGGTTTTTTTTTTTGATTTTTTAACAACAGGGACATAATGCAATGGACAACTTACTTTTTTTGTCTGATTCCCTAATATATATAAACTTATCTATATCTATCTTAAGTATCAGGGAACCAATCAAAAAATATTATAAAATATATTATATATACACATATATAGTATATGTATAGGTATACATGCATATATGTTGTATGCATATATAGATATATATTGTATATATATATATTTCCTGTTGTAAATTAACACGATGACAAGATGCATTGTAAATTCACATAAAAATTTTGTGAGTTTGAGTTACTAGGGTCTGCTTCCATGGTCTGAGCACATATAAATTTCAGAGCCAATGGAGAGGCCGTAATTTTAATAACAAAAGCCCAAACAAGGCACTCTCTCTTTAGGTACCAACTGAAGAGTCCAGCTGGTCTTCAATACACTTTTTTTTTAATTGCATTTTAGGTTTTGGGGTACATGTGCAGATCATGCAAGATAGTTGCATAGGTACACACATGGCAGTGTGTTTTGTTTTCAATACACTTTTTACACCATTTAGCAATATTCCATTTCCTAACTCGGTATCTTTATACAATCATCCCCTGTTATTTTTATTAATGCATTAAAGATGTGCATAGTTTTAGGGTACATGTTGCGATTTAATACATTCATATAATTTGTAAAGGATTATTACAAATGATTGATTATTTCAAATAGGTGTAATTGGGTTGTCCATCACCTTATATACTTGTATTTTCTCTATGCTAGAGCTGTTGGAATTATTCTCTTTTAGCTGTTTATCACTGTACAGTGGATTATCATCAACTACAATCACACGACTGATCTATGTAGGTCCTTTTAAAAAAGAGATCGTTATCATTATTACACGCATTTTTAATTATTACCTTTACCTTTCTAAAAAGGAAATCGCCTCCTTCACCATAATGGATCCAGCTCGTTCGGCCTTCATGGGCTGCTCTGTGATCTCGTGCTCCCGCATGAGGAGGCAGTCCCAGTATAAACGGGACGTGTAGCTGGAGAGCCAAGCATAGCCCAAGAGGAAAATAAACAGAATCATGGAGAAGATCAGGAGCCAGGGAACAGAGACCCAGCCACTCAGTTTCCCAAAGGTTAGTGTGAGTACAGCAATGGCAACCAGCTGTACGCAGAGCCAGAGCCGACTCTCAAAGGCTAGTTCCATGTTACGAGAGGGGGCCGGCCAGCAGCTGTCAATGAGAGTGTATGGCATGCCATAGTAGTAGTCAAACCCGTAATTATATGGATGGTGGCAGTGGTCACTTCGGGAGTCACAGTTCAGGCCTTGGTGCCATTTGCCTAAAACCAAACACACAAACACATCTACACATCAATATGTCAACATACGCCAGCACATCGGAAAGAACATGTGGACCATTCTTCATGGGAAACAACCAGCTAAGGCACACAAATAAAGTGGCAGAGATATTTGCTTGGTGTAAAATATCCAAGTTTCACTTAGCCACGTTCTTTTTTTGTTCTTCTTTAGTTCATAGAGGAAGTTTTTATTTAGATCTGGTTGTGAGCAACAAGGCACGATAAAAAATAAGGGAGAAAAATAAAATCATGATTTTCTTTCAAGGACGTGAACTAGAAATTTTCCCATTCACTGAGAAGAAAAGTCACATCCACAAAGATAGATACATTGTAGAGACAAGGCAGGTTACATATGATGAAACAATAGGTGTATATATAGATATAGCTAGATAGATATACACGGATGATACATAGATAGACAGATAGATAATATGTAGAGAGAAAGATACGCAGGTAGATGATAGAGATAGAGTGGTGGTTGGATGGATGGATCAATATATAAATAGATACAAAGATAGGTAGGTAGATAGGTAGGTAGGTAGACAGATAGATAGATAGGATAGAGGAGAGGACAGATTCAAATAAATGATGAAGGCTAGATGGAGCATGTATAGATGTATGTGGATGGATGGAATGATAGATGAGTGGGTGATTAGACAGATGCATGAATAGACCCGTGTTGTGGGTAGATGTACAGATAGGGTATGATGGATAAAAATAAATTATGGAGTATACATCTATGTATGTATATGTATGTAATATCAATAGAGAGATAGATGTGATAAATATGATAGAAACAAATGATGGATGGATACATTGGGCATGTATGTATGTGTAGGTGAATGGATGGACACATGGGTGGGTGGCTGAGTAGGTGAAGAGATAGGTAGATGGAGATATATGGGTGGATAGATGAATACATAGATATGATGGATAGATGGATGGATGGATAGATGATAGATGGATAGATAGATACATGATAGATAAATGGGTGGATGAATAAATTATAGATGATAAGTAGATAATCGGTAGACAGATACACAGATGATAGATAATGATAGAAGATGGATCGATTAAGAGACACGTAGATGGATGCATAGAGATACATGGGTGGATGGATGGATGGAGAAAGAGAGACAGAGAGATGACCAATGACAGCTATAGGTAAATCATGGAGGATGGACCCAGCGTGGACAGATGAATAGCTGGCTGGCTGAGAATCCTAGGGGTGCTCGTTAAAAACTGATTGAAGTAAGGGATTTATTCCATAAAACGTACCACACTGAATGATCACCAAAGGGTGTGTGTGAGTCCTGCTAGCATGTGGATGCTCAGCAAACCCTCCGAGGCTGTGATAATGTATATCTACTAGGAATATTAACCCCTTCCTGTATGTGATGAGGGCCCCATCAAGAATGCCTGCGCTTTCACCAAACTCAGTCCCTGCGGGGTAGGTAGAGGAGAGGCAATGCTACTACTGGCTTAGGCTTCCTGTCCTGCAACCCAGGGAGACTGCCTTCTCTTATCAACAGCAGCCGTGTCACCAAAATTGAAGGGATTTAAAATAGCATCTTATTCTCATGCCAGCTGAAACCCAGTCTTCCCAAGCAGGAATAGAAGCTGAAGCTCCAACTGCTGGGTGGCTGAGGACTCCTCATCTTTGGCTGTGAGAAGAAAATCTATGTGGTCCAGTTTTAACGAAATGAAGAGGTAGGTGACGGGATACATGGTGAGAGACTATGCAGGCATGCAGAGCCAGACAAATTTTATGTTCTTGTAATATATTCATTTTAAAACATCTCCTATCACTAGGCTGTGTGAAGAATCAGACTGTGTGTGCTGCCTAACTCCCGTAATCCCAGCACGGGGAGGCCAAGCTGGGTGGATCACTGGAGGCCAGGAGTTTGAGACCAGCCTGGCCAACATGATAAAACCCCATCTCTACCAAAAATACAAAATTCAGTCAGTTGTGGTGTCACGCGCCTGTAGTCCCAGCTACTCAGGAGGCTGAGGAACAGGAATCCCTTGAACCCGGGAGGTGGAGGCTGCTGAGATTGTGCACACAGAAACACGAGACTCTGTCTTGAAAAAAAAAGAACTCCTGGCACTAGCAATCCTCCCGCCTTAGTCTCCAGAGTGCCTGGAGCCATAGGCACATGCCACCGTGCCCAGCTAATTTTATATTTTAGAGATGGGATCTTTCCATGTTGCCCAGGCTGGTCTGAAACTCCTGGCCTCCAGTGATCCTCCCACCTTGGCCTCCCAAAGTGCTGGGATTATAGGCATGGCCACTGTGCCAGGACATAAGACATTGTGAAATACAGTGTTTCCAAGAAAGTCATAAATCAAGGGTAGAACAAAGGACATTATTGCCTTATGATCAATGACTAACACTGGTTCTTGTGTCTTACCTATAAGCCCCGTGCTGTACCCTTGCTTCTTTAGCAAGGCTGCAAACGTTGTCTCATTTAGAGGGAGGCCCGCGGGGACTGCAAGATTTCTGACGACACGTACATTATTACCACTGGAAACCATACCTAGAGGGAGTGTGGAAAAAAGCACAATGAGTTTGTGTTGCTATGGAAGGAATATTTTTGTCACTTCAAAATTTGCACATTGAAAGCCTTATCTCCAAGGTAATGGCTTTAGGAGGTGGGGCTTTAGGAGGGGATGAAGTCAGGAGCATGGAGCCTCAAGAATGGAATCAGTGCCCTTATAAAAGGGACCCCAGAGAGCTCCCTCACTCCTTTCACCATGAGAGGACACCGAGAGAAGGTGCCATCTATGAAGCAGGAAGCAGGTCCTCAGCAGACACTGAATCTGCCATGCCTTGATCTTGGACTCTCAGCCTCCAGAACTGTGAGTAATAAATGTCTGTTGTTGATAAGCCACCCTGTCTATGGTGTTTTTGTTATAGCAGCCCAAACGAACTAAGAAAAGACTTTCCTTTTCTTTTTTTTTTTTTTTTTTTTTGAGGCAGAGTCTCGCTCTGTCTCCAGGCCAGAGTGCAGTGGTACAATCTTGGCTCATTGCAACCTCCACCTCCTGGGTTCAGGCAATTCTCCTACCTCAACCTCCTGAGTAGGTAGGATTATAGGTGAGTGACAGAAAAGACCTTTTCTTTCTTCTTGCCCAAAGTCAGTGACAGCAGTCTGGCAGTAGGGTTGATACATGAGACTTTATTCTGCCTCCAAGAACCGGTATCTGGAATCCATATAATCTGACAGTAAAGTGCGGCATCTGTGCCCACAAGCCAAGACCACTTCCCTAACTTTTTTTTTTTCTCTATCTCTCTCTCCCCTTTTTTTTTTTTTTGGTTGTTGTTGAGATGGAGTCTCACCCTGCTGCCCAGGCTGGAGTGCAATGAAACAATCTTGGCTCACTGTAAACTCCGCCTCCCAGGTTCAAATGATTCTCCTGCCTCAGCCTCCCAAATAGCTGGGATTACAGGTGTGAGCCACCACGCCTGGCTAATTTTGCATTTTTATTAGAGACAGAGTTTCACCATGTTGGCCATGCTGGTCTCAAACTCCTAACCTCAAGTTATCTTCCCTCCTCGGCTTCCCAAAATGCTGGGATGACATGTGTGAGCCACTGTGCCCCAGCCCACTCCCCTCACCTTTAAAAACAGAACCATATGGGTGGATGTGGTGACTCACACCTGTAATCCCAGCACTGTGGGACACCAAGGCGGGTGGATCACCTGAAGTCAGGAGTTTGAGACTAGCCTGGCCAATATGGGGAAATCCTGTCTCTACTGAAAATACAAAATTAGCCAGGCTTGGTGGTGCATGCCTGTAATCCCAGCTACTTGGGAGGCTGAGGCAGGAGAATTGACTGAACCCAGAAGGCAGAGGTTGCAGTGAGCTGAGATCATGCCACTGAGCTCCAGCCTGGCAACAGGGTGAGACTCCATCTCAAAAAAAAAAAAAAAAAAAAAGAAAGAAAGAAAAGAAAAAAAACAGAACCATATGACCCATAAATTTCACTCCTGGGAATCTCAAAAGAATTGAGCTTCCTGAGAAACCCAAAAGGATTGAAAACCAGTATTCAAAGAAAACTTGCACACTTAAGTTCATAGCTATATTCCTCACAATCGCTAAAGGGTGGAGACATCTTGACTATCCTTCAGTTGATTAATGGATGGAGAAAATGTAGTGAATCCATGAAAGGGAATAGTACACAACATAAATGAAGCTCTGACCCAGGCTGCCAGAAAATATGATGCTTGGTGACAGAAGCCAGTCACAGACTGTCACACACCGTATGATTCCTTTTATGTGAAATATCCAGGACAGACAAATACATAGAAGGGGAAAGTGGATTCTTGGCGACCAGAGGCTTGGAGAAGGGGGAATGGGAATGACTTCTTCATGGGGACAAGATCTCCTTTGTGGGTGATGGGAATGTTCTAGAATTTGATGAAGGCGATGGCTGTAGAATACTGGGAAAGTGCTAAGTGAATTGCACTCTTATAATAGCTAATTTCAGCCAGGCCTGGTGGCTCACGCTTGCAATCCCAGCACTTTGAGAGGCCAAGGTGGGTGGATCACTTTAGCTCAGGAATTTGAGACCAGCCTGGTTAACATGGTGAGGCCCTGTCTCTACCAAAAATACAAAAATTAGCCAGGCGTGGTGGCAAGTGCCTATAATTTCAGCTACTCAGGAGGCTGAGGAGGGAGAATTGCTTGAGCCTGGGAGTTTCAGGCTGCAATGAGCTGATATTGTGACACGGCATTTCAGCCTGGGCAACAAAGGGAGACCCTGCCTAAAAAAAAAAAGTCACCAGATTGGATGCCAAAAGGGAGGGAGGGTTAAGTTCAGGAGTTCGAGACCAGCCTGGGCAACACAGCAAGACCCTGTCTCTACAGGT